CTTGCTGTGAATTTCAGGTTTCTGTTTAAAGCTGATTGTAATTTAGGAAGAAAATTACAATACTTTTATTCTGTATTTGAGCTGTAATTTCGCAGAATGTTCATTGCATCTAGAACCTGTAGAAGTTTTTCATTCTTATGCTTTTCAGTGTAGAATCACTTGTGTAAGATCTCAAGGTTACACGCGCCTGGCGAAGCATTAGTAACATTTATTTCTCTGCCTATCACTCACTTCTTGTACAATTTCTCTTCGTGTCCATATTTGTTTTCAGTCTTCCCTTTCACCGATCGCAGGCGATTTAGACAAAATTCGAAATGGAAATCTGCCCGAATTTTCAAAGAGTATTTGATGTAAATTTTTTCTATACACAGAACACTTAAATAAAATAAAATATTTTTGAATTTATACTTACATTGTACGTTCCTTTTACTATTTAACATGCCATAGTTTTGTAAAAGCAAATTCGTTATAAGTGAGTGGGTTTGATTGCATGGGAATTGCGATCACAAATTATTGAAAAGCGCAGTGGTCGAAGTTCTGCTGCACTTGGTTTGACTAATGACTGTCTCGCAATTTCGCTAACATAAGTCAATGCGTATACTAGATTTGTAGTAATCTTCGCATCATTTTTTCTTAGCAGATGTTTGTTTATTGGCTTGCTAATAAAGAAAGAAATGTTTATTCGTAGCTTTGTCTAAGAAAACAAAGACAACATTGCTAGTGCTATATGGCTGAAGGAAAAGCTGCTTTCGAGAATGACTTTCTAAACAAACTGGTTCATATTTAAGCTAAGACAGGCAAGCGCACAAAAACATCTACATAGTCAGAAGCTCAAACTGACTGCATTCAATAGACCTTGGTCAATTTGCTAGTTTTCAACCAGTCTTAACTTTCATATTCCGATGAGACCCTCGACCGATAAGACCCGCGAATAAAATTCAGGACTCTACGCGATTGCTCTAGCTCATACAACCGCCTTTTCGTGAATGTACGCATGAATAAATATTAATAATCTTGGGCAGAAATTTTACTGTTTCATGCAATTTAAGTATCCCGAAGCACAATATGTTCTTTTTGTAGAGAAACTTATCCGTCTTATTAAGTTTCTCGAATGTCAATTACTTCTTCTGCAGACAAACGTTTCAAATGAAATTAATTTATGTTGAAAGGTATTTGATGTGTTTAAATTTTGTTCCGGGATATGCGAATTCTTTTATTATTCATTAAGCAACCAAAATACTGTAAGATTTGCAATAATTCCATAATACACAAATTACTGCACGCATAGAGTTAGTAAATGATATGTGTATGCATCGGGTTTACAATGATTTTTTAACGGAAAAAGTGTAATTTTATTTTATAAATTGGTTCTCTAAAAAAGATCGCGAAATATCTGGAGAAAAATTCCGATAAGACCCTCGACTGAAACATTTAATTATTAATATCTCGAACGATTTTGTTTTACTTTTTTCTCATAAATCTGAACATAGAATTTTTATTTTTGGCCTCCCTAGATGATTTTTGCAGGTTGCATAAAATTTAAAACTATGCAATTATTGCTAAAGATGGTATATGACAAAAACAGTCTTTGTTGAAAGCACATTTTTACAAGTGTATTAGATTTAAATCATTGACCATTCAGTCATTTAAGATATATTTAGAGCTTCAGGTTAAAGTTAATAAATAGTAACTTGTATGCAGATCCAAAAACGATCCTTAATTGAAATGTTTGCATGATGAAACTTCTAGTTATCTGATTTTGTACAAAGGAAAGAACATATAATAGAAACTCAAGTGTTATTGTGACAGATAGGCTAATGCAACTTTTACTTCCCACTTCTACGAAGAATGCATTTATGAAGAATTTTATAAAGAGCTAGTTTCACAATTGCAGTCACGCAGATTTTGAAGCCAATATGTGTTATACGTTTCAGCGGACTTGACATAAAATAAATCATGAAACATAAATTCATCAATTGAAATAACATTTACATATAAATTTTGTTTCTTTATTTCAGTTTTTTTTCTTGAAAAAATGTTTTGATGAAACCTTAGTTTCTTAATGTCATATATGAACTTCCAAATGAAGGCAACTGACGTACGGCAGTAGCGATTGGTAAAAATATCAGAATTAAACAAAAATATGCGACTAAAGTATATCTTAAGCTATCTTCAGACTCCCTTAATCTGAAAAGCATGTTTTAAATAAATGCAAGAAAGCAATGAAGCAAACATTTTCGTGGGAAATAAATTTATTCACAAGCTCTTCTATATCCCAACAAAAGCTTTTTTTTTTAACAAAATCTTCCTCAAATTTTCTTTTCTTCATTCCAAATGCAGTTTTCTTGGTTTCTTCTAATACACAACTTCCGAAAATCATTTAGTATCTCCGAACTTCTTAAGAAGAGGCAATTTCAGTTTTTTGTCCTTAAATTTAATTTTAGTTTATCTTTTTCTTATATAAGAGAGTCTGATATTTAATAATTTTGAAAACACAATTTTAACTTAAGCTAGCATTAAACTGTGTTTTCAGAATTATAAATTCAATCTTCTGATGAAGTATTAAAACACGCTGCATGAATAAAGCTTATATGTTTAGATTCGGCATATCATTAATTATTTCTTCCGCATGGTGTTCTAATATTAAATTAAGATTTCCGACAAAGTTTTGCTTGTTGATTAATGGTCTTATTTTACAAGGAAGATAAAACTTCGTTTAGTGTAAAAAGCTTAACCTGAATATCTTAGATACAAAATTCTATGCTTTCATGATTTAATCTATGTCGTTATCTACTAGCTTTCAAGTGGCTACCTGTTAAAAAAACGTAGCTAAGTAATTAATATGCAGTTAAGTATAAGATACAGAAAAAATAAGGCTTGGAATATTATTATTAATCGTGATTAATACAAGGTCCAGAAAGTTAAAAGCCAAATAAGATGATGATAAATCAAGCCATTTTGAAACAAAATCTTCACTGAATTTTGAATTACATTTGAAACATTTGAAAACTGATAGATATTCTGTGAACGATAGATTCTTGTTGCAGTGATTACTATTTAGCTCAAAGATATCTTTTAACATTTATTGTTTACATTATTTAATTAACCCTTTCCTCTGAACTTCCACCCATTTATCAGACGTATATTTAATGAGGCAAAGAATTATTTGTATTGTAAAACTGTTGAAGATTTAGTATCAATTTTAGTTCAAATTATAACAAAATTTATTCTGAAGTGAGCAAAAATGTAGCATTTTAGATGTGCGACTGAAGTAACTTCTACAACTTCTGCTCTTAGTATCTTTCAACAAACTTGATACATAATTTGGATTCTGTTCGATGCAAAATCCTAATGAATCTCGATGTTATATGATAATTTAGCTAAAACTATTTGAATTACATCAAAAACAATTTAAAATTCATTACATAATATTCAGTATGTTTTAGAGCACATATTATATACACTTGTGTACCATTGGAAGCTCCGATTACACCAAAGAAACGAACCAAAAATACGTAACCCTCTGAGCGCTCTGACCGGCTTTATCCGTTTAGGAGATTTTTGGTCACTTGTTATATATTAGCTTATAATTTAAATATTTTGCTTTCTTACTTTCATCAATAATATAAATGCCATCTTGATGAATGTAAGTTTATTAAAAGAGAGGAAAAAATAGGTAAATATACACATTTTGCTAAAAAAGGCTCTTTTAGTACAGGTCTTCATGGCAGATCCAAAAACCCGGCCTGCTTAATATCTTAAATGCATGGAAGTTTATAAAATTGAAGAAATTTCTTTAGTTTATAATATATAAAGCAGTTAAATAGAGATTTAAAAAGTATTTTTAATATATTGCTCAATATTAGAAGCATTGGTTTCGTATAAAATAAGCATACATTGGACAAAGAAAGAATATATTTTTTAAGGTTTCAGTTTCCGTTATGTTTTTATTCCCTTCCGAAAATTCCTGCATTGTTAGATACAAAAATGTAATTGAATGAATATTTATGTTACGATTTGCAAGTAAATATTTGCATAAATATCTAAACTGCATAAAACATTTCTGCATATATATATTTGTATATGTGTGCATATATACACATTATATTGAAAAATGTTCACCACTTCCTGAAACGCCTTTAAAACAATAATTTAAGAAATCAACGCTTTGATTATGTTTACAGTGAAATTATTGGTATCTAATTGTCTAAGTCACAGGTTCCAAAATTATGGAACACAAATTTTCTCAAATTTTATGTTTAATGAATAGCGTCCCTAATCAGTTACACTAGTTAAAAGAATTCATGTCTATTAAAGAGATGTAAGTGAAAGCAATGAGAAAAACTTTTTTGTAATATCAATTCATATTACTTTTCTTATTTTTCCCATTTAGGATTTTTCTCTCCCGTTAAATACAAATAAATAGTTGCGTAATTGTTTTAATTGCAAGATTATCCACATAAATCTTTATCTAAACATTTAGGCTGCTTAAAATATTTACGTTCGCGAACATAGAATATATGATAAAAATATTTGCAGAGTTATTGATTTTTTTCTGCAAAGCCTTCTATGATATAACATATTTCCCTTGCTTACTAAAAATTTTCATTTAGTTAAAAAATTCAGCAAACATAAATTATCTCGTGTGAAGCATACAATATATCAACCCCGTCTTGATACAAACAAACTATGGACATTTTTCTGAAGCTATTTAGTGTTTATACATCAAGCAGGATGTGAGTTATATACAGTTTTCCATTTTAAATAAAAATTTAATTTTCCGTGACATATAAGTTTTTTTTTTTTTTTTTTTTTTTTTCAAAGAATGGCGAAACTTATGTTTCAAGCCTTGAAACTGCATTTTAATGAACTAAAAGAGAAGTAAATTTTTCTTTCTTTAGAAATTTTCTCTTAACATTTAACACACACATTTATTGCAGAAACGTGGGATTATAAACCATTTTAAATTACTATACAATACGAAATTTGAAAGAACTTACCTTTTCTAAGCCTACATTGTCCACATTCCAGCCTATAACAGGTAAACCCAGGTAACCTGTTAGTTGAAGTAAATATTGTACAGATGCAGCATTTCCTTGGTATATTTCATTGTTAGTCAGATATATAACTGTAATAACATTATGCGCTAAAAGGTTCTTACAAAGTGTGTTCAAAATATCCATTGGACTAGCTTCGAGATTCATCATCATCCATGGCCCACGGCCTATCCTGAAATGTTTCGTAAAGGTGAAGTCATAAAGTTTGATTTTATTGTTATTTATGCTGTCAACGGTGTCTGAAATCCTTTTAAAGAACATCCTCTGAAGGGAAAGCAAGTTGGATTTAGGGATGATTGCTCCAAGGTAGACATTCGGTATGCGTGGACCGGCCGGAGGATTTTCTTGCCAAACAGACTCGTCGAACTGTTTAGATTCGAACATTGAAGTCATCGAGTTCTGGCTCGAAGGGCCAATCAAAGTTATTGTTATTACAATAAAAATGGATAGATGTAGGTGGATCATCCTAGCAGCACTCATAATAGTTTAAAATCACGTACATACAACAAAGTAATCACAACAAGATTTGGACATCAAGGAGAATGATTTTACAAATATAGCTGCCATGAAGGGACACACTTGAGACTTAACGTCATATTTGGCACGTCACCTCTACATGTAGTGACAAAACGTAGGAACATTTATACATAAGTACTAATATCATAGTTCTTAAGTCACACATATTGCTAATACAGTTATGTAGTATGTCATTACATTATATTTTCACAAAATTGTAAACATGAATTCTTGTACTTTTTGTGTACTCCAGGTTTTCAATAAACAGTTAAAAAATAGCACTAAGTTTAAAACTAACTTTCATGTATTGCTAAAATGCCTTGGTTTATTCAAAAGGCAGAAATATTAACACATGATAGTGAAATTATTATCACTGTAAAATATAGCTCAAAATCCAAAACTATGGAGAGATATTCTGAGGTTAGCACTTCTATAACTAATAAAAAGAATAAGAACTTATCTTTCCAGCTACAGAGTGAGCAAAATCTTTACGTATTTAAAAGCTTATAGAGGGCTTAATTTTGTTACGATTTAAATAAGACACAGGTGAATGAGAAGTTGCTTTCAAATCCAGTAAAAAATTAGAAGTATCTTTTTCATCCTTCTTAATTTTTCTAATCAAAATTTTCATATTCATTCAATATTCTTAACTTCCTTGTAATAAAGTAAAAAGTCGCCAAATCTTGCTCAAGTTTAATCAGGAAAAACAAAAACATTCCATTTATTTCTTCTTCTATTGCCCTTCTTTATGGATAATTTGTTATACTTTTAGCAGCAGCACTTCAAGAAAAGTAGCATTCCTTTTTTAATGTCCTATTCCTCTGTATTCAGGAAACATAAGAGTAACAGATTTCAAATACGTAGAAAAATTTCTTGTCCTCTTCCAATTGCCTTCTCTTAACATTCTAAATGTTTTTTGAACCATATTTAAAAAATTTGCTTGTGATGTTCATCGTCATTCTGAAAATAAGAAACAAAGAATTATTACAATATAGTCATGAAACTATTAGGCAAAAGAATACATTGCATATGTTTTAAAAATTTAGAAAAAATAATAATAATACATAAAATATGATAGAAATATAATGTAAAATTCGAGATTTAAAAAAAAACAGAGTATAACATATTTCCTTACTCAAATATTAATACGATAAAAATAGTTAAGAAATATTGCCATACATTTATAACTCTGACCAACAAATGATTTGTCACAGAATAATTATTTGTTGTGTATTTGAGCATGGTAATTCCCAATATGTACCTTAAATTTTAACATCACTTTCAGGTGTCAAGTGACATCATTTCTTGATATCAATGAGAACGTGCAAATATTTCTTAAGATATAAGTGATTATGTAAAAACTTATGTTAATGATAAAAATTTAGAAATGATTTTAGTTGTGTTTAGTCATCCATTTTCTAATTTTGTTTCAGAATTTTAATCTCTGCTTCGCATTTCAATTAAGATTATCTACAAATCAAGTTACACGTGTTAGCAACTCAAATGAGCGTCATTATTCCACGCTTTCAATTAGAGTGATTCCAAAATCCTTTCATAAAAGAATGACGTGCCATAAAAGCAGAATATTTGCAAGGATTTAAAAATAATAATGATTCTTATGAGTTTCAAATGAGCTATACTTACTTGTTTCATTCTCGAACATTATAACTAGACATATAAGGATTTATTTAGTTTCACTAACCAGTTATTTTAAGTTAATTACATTTACTGCCTTTCTCGCTTTCCCTTTTTCTCCTTTATTCCGTGTTTCTAGTTCGTTCGCATTCAGATGAGGTTGAAAGATACAGTATTTAAAGGAAGGGTTTGGATTGTATTGAGCGTCTTCCGCCTGCTGAACGCTAAGTTAATGGTTGAAGTTATGGACAGCAGTTTGCCTGAGGCGTTTTGTTGTGTTCTCCATTAGGCTTGTCTCACTGATATTAGGTCTGAGCCAACTTTTGCGCAATTCTATATTGTCTAAACTTTGTTCTGTAATTATTCAGACAGTATGTCCACTGTTCTGGCAGTCTTAAATCATAATCGCTCCTCTCTGCTCGTTCTCAACATACAGCATCTTCTGCAAAGCATTCCCATAAACACATATACCTGGTATTGGTTAGAGCACACTTAGGTCTGATAGGCAATGAAACAGCTAACAAACTTGCCAAAGAGGCAACTAGCAACATAAACGCAAAGGAAATTAATATTTCGGTACCTCCCTCTTAAGCCGCTCTGAAATGGCAACAAGAATTGGACGGAGACGTACATACGATTTCTTCCCAAAAGTTTGTAGAGAACTTAGGTTATTTTTGAAACAGGAAGAAGTGAAGAATGAGCAACGCCTTTGCCCGGAATCGAACCACGGATCTCTGGAATACACGCCCAACTTGTAGACCACCACACCCCGAAGACATGCCAAGAAGACGGGAGAAATACCTTATATATTCTTCCTTTTCAAAGGGCGACTGGGGTGTTTAGGGAAACCAATCGCCAAATCCTGGGTGAGG